ATATATATATATATATATATATATATATATATATATATATATATATATATATATATATGGCGATTTTGCCGTCACAAAATTAAGTTGTGAATTGACGGAGGACAAGGAGAGCTGTACTCGCGCTCCCTTCTCCAGCGGGAAGGGCGGCAGCGTAGAATTAGTTTCGCACGCTTTTTGCGTGCGAGATCGCGTGTTTTTACTTTTTTTTTTTGGTTTTGCTTCTTTCGAGTGCGACAGATTACCTGTAAAAGACATGAGCAACGGCGGACGAGAGCGAGCGACGAGCCAAACGGGGTAGGATCCACCCTTCTCTGACATAAGCAAAGGGGCTCCTAGACAACTTGACGCGGATCGCAAGGAAGGGCTGGACCTTAAGGACTAAATCCCGGGGGACGCTCTGGGACCAGGAAAACTTCCGGCAGCCACTTACGCGATCGCGGAGGTTCAGGATGTCGTCGAGTACCAGTGTCCGTCGGCGAAGATATTGTTATAATCGCGAATATTAGCGCTGCCGAAACGCTTCATGAGGAACCGTTTCGACTACGCTACAACAAGGAAGCGGATGTGCAAGTGCTGCGCTAAGCACCACCTGCACATCCGCATTTCGGACCTCGAGTCAAAACGCACCGAATTATCACCAAATATGGTAATCTCCTTGTCACCAGGCACCCCCTCCGACAAGACTAAACAATATTATAAAAGAGCGGAGAAGACCGCCCGCGATAGGATCAATACCTCGGTCTCTCGCCCGCGACATGCGTACCTGTCGCACCTCCCGCGTGTAACCCTAAGTTTCGGGAGTTAATAAATAAACTAAATACTTTTTTACAATCAAGGCTATTTTATTACGCTAACGACTACAACCGTTGGCCGTCCCACCGCCATACACCCTGCCGCGTCCGCAACATCGATCTCGAATCCTTTCTCTCTTGCGTCCCAGCAACACGGGGCACGAAAATATAGATAATTCGGCAGTGTCGCGCGGGCCCTGTAAGGCGCCCGCGCTAGAGCCGTGCGCTCTTAAAAAGACCAATAGGACCTAGCGGTTATCGGCGGCGAGGATCGCGAGCCGAGAGAGCTTCGCGCTCGCGGAAAAATTCTCACTGTGCGGTATCACACGAGCGGAGACAGACGATAGCGAAAGCGAGCGAAAGAGTGCGTCAAACTGCGAGAGGTGAACCCAGCAGCGAGCGAACAAGCGGAGCCTCTCTCACGAAAATCAAAGGACGAGATTGAGGAGCGAGAACAGCACGGGATTTTGGTGAGCGGACCGCAGCGAAGTATACGTCCAGCCAGGCGATCGATCGAGATGCCGTCGCTTTCCGATGGCCGTCGGTAGAGTTCCTCGTGGCGTTTCGAAAGGCAAGACGTGATTGCTGCCGCAAGCTAAAGCCACGCGTTCGCGACATAGTGACCGTTCTTCCCGCGTTGCCTGCCGCTAAAAGACCGCGACCGCACAGTACCGCGAGCGAAGAGCGTAATAATATTAAGAATCACGCGACTGTAGTGCGAAAGTGCGAGTCTCCGAGAATGAACGAAATAGCGCGTTAATAAGCTCTGTCGAGCGTCGAGAGAACCGATGTCGGAACTGCGGAACATTGGAAATTTCGGTCGCCGCCGCGGAGCGGAACGTTAGAAATCGACGTGCGGCGAGGCTGTCGTTCCGCAGACGTTTACGATGGGATAATTAGGGCCGGGATGCGTCCGGTTTGCACCCAATTTAGTAATAAGAGTCGGAGAGGGACGATATAATTAAACAAGCCTCGCGCCGCGAAAAACTTCGCGAGGTAGACGGATCCTCGGCTACAGATCCGGCTGCCGACCCATTCCGCGAACCACGCGACTCGGAATCCCGCATCGTTTTTCTTTTTTTTTTTTTGTTAAATATAGCGTTATTGTTAAGAAGCATGTGTAATTTAATTCTTGTACCTCTGATCCATTCGTCTTCTCCTCACGTGTCGCGCGAAAGCTTCGCGCGTCGGTTTACGAACCACGCCGCTCTACCGAATCAGATTAGTTTTTGAGAGCTGCCGGCAGACTCGGCCGTCACCGCCTCGGTGGAGACGAAGTTTTGGCCGTATTCTACTCGATAAGAGAAAACGGTCACAATATATATATACAGGGTGTTCGGAAAGTACCGGGACGCCCGAATATCAGGAAAAATATAAGTTTTACAAAAAAATGTTTCAGACAAAAGTTGTGGCGTTTAAAAAAATGTATTTACTGATCACATCAGTTTGACCTTGGGTTGCGTAGCGAAGGTCAGGTCAAGGTCACATTAATTTTTTTAAATGGAACACCCCATTTTTCATTGCATATTCTTATAGCACATCTCGAGAG